GATAGATAGATAGATAGATAGATAGATAGATAGATAGATAGATAGATAGATAGATAGATAGATAGATAGATAGATAGATACACACACACACTTTCACAAAAAATGTCACCAAATAATTGATTCAAACCTTTTCATATTATTCATTGTCTAATTCTAAATTAGCCAAGAGATCCTCTGGCATACATGGGTCTTTCCTAATGTATCCGTCCAAGAACCCTTAACGCTCCAGGTTTCTATAGCGGGAGAAACTATTTTAAGAAAGCAATGTCAGTTACCCGGGGTGGGGTGGGGGAATAAAAGACAAGGAAGATAACCTTAAGGTATTTTAAGACCGCATCCTCAAATACTAAATGAAAAAAGGCATGTGTCTGGAATTTGCAACGGTTGTGTTAGGAATTTGCGGGCATGAAAGCCAAATCTGATAGGTCTGTCGTTTCCTATGTCTCTTGTCATAATAAGTTCAGATCCCAAATATCTGCCAATTGTAGATCCATCACAAGGAGAGAACCTGAAATAAGGGATGGAGGGGGGTGGAGCGTAAAGATGATGGATGAGAATCACTGTTAAACAAACAACAAAAGAAACAGAGGCACACCTCTCCATCGAGTTGAATCTTCCCTGGTAGCAACGCCATTACATTTAGGACAGATGTAGAAATAGAGAACCTTTGAGCTGTAAAGAGAGGCGCCCTTACATTTGGGACAGATGTGAAGACAGGGAACCTTTCAGCTGTAAAGAGAAGAGCTCCCCTCCCCACCTCCGCTTCCTTTCGAATTATTGGCTGCCTCTGTCATCTAAAAAACGGCGTTTGCAGCCAGCGGCAGGAGTTTTGCACCCCAGAGAGGTACCATTTTGAAAGGCAGAGGAGATGGGGAGATGCCCTCCTGTTGAAGAGTTAGGAGGCAACCAGGTCCACTTGGGGGAGGGGGAGGGGGGAGATCCCAGCTCCTCCATCGCAGCCACTTTTTGTGCTGGATTCAAAGATCAGCCATTGTTGCTAGGGGAAGAGCGAAGAAGAAAGGATGGAGGGAGGGAGGGAGGGAGGGAGGGAGGGGAGGAGGAGGGCCCAAAAAAGGGGGGGGGGGATCCGCACAGTGGCGTTGGGGCAGGGGAGGTTAGACGCACGACAGAGAGAGGGTCATATAAATACCTGGCTCGTTGGATCAGAGTCAAGCAGGAGAGACCTCTTCTTCCTTTACCTCCCGCTATTCTGCAACGATGCCCCCTCCTCTTCCTTCTCCTCCTCCAGTTGCCGCTGGGTCGGATCTCCTCCCCTAGCCTCCTCTTGCTTTCTTGGGGAGAAGGAAAAGCCTTGCACGGGAAAAGACCCTTACCTTCCCACACGCACCCCTCCCCTGCCAGCCATGTCCCCCCCACCCCACCCCTTGCACACCAAGCGATAAGGCTCTGCGAGGGCAACCAGCCGCAGATTTCTCCCTACACAGGAAGTTCCCAGCTGCTGTCAGTCATGTTACCAAGTTCGGCCTCCCTCCTGCAGGGAAAACACACAGAGACACACGCACAGTGGGAGGCTGCCCCCAGGCCCTGTGGGATGCTGGTGGTGACGTCAATCCCGGGGCACATAGATCAGCCACCCAAAAGGGGACACGCGCCCACACACACTCAGGCAACATTCCTAAACTCTGCTGGGGAACTGAGGCATCAGTCTGTTTGCAAAGAGAGCTAAGGTTGCCAACTCCAGCTTGGGGAATTCCTGGGGGGAGGGGGGAGGAGGAGGAGGAAGAAGAAGGCTGCCTCTTCCCATATACACTCCGAAGAGCATTATGCTCCATGGATAAACATCTCCTGATTGTCCCTGGCCCAAAGGACGCCTGTCTTTCATCAGCCAGGGCCAGGGCTTTTTCTGCCCTGGCCCCCTGCCTGGTGGAACATGCTCCCAGTCGAGATTAGGGCCCTGCAGGATCTTCTTCAATTCCGCAGGGCCTATAAAACCGGGGCTGTTCCGCCAGGCCTTTGGCTGAGGCAGCTGACATCTCTATACATCCTCCCTGAGGTAGTTGTCACCTATCCACCTGTTATCCCCATTTAATATCCTAAAGAGCTATACAACCAGTATTTATTGTACTGTTTTTATGATGTTACCCGCCCTGAGCCCGCTTGCGGGATGGGCGGGCGATAAATACAAATAATAATAAATAAGAAGAGGAGGAGGAGGAGATTGGATTTATATCCTGCCCTTCACTACCCAAAGGTGTCTCAGAGAGGCTCACAATCTCTTTTCCCTTCCCCTCCCCACAACAGACACCCTGTGAGGCAGGTGGGCCTGAGCGAGCTCTTGACAGAAACTGCTCTTTTTCAAGGACTGCTCTTATCAGAACTACGGCTTGCCCAAGGTCATCCAGTCAGGTGCAAGTGGAGGAGTGGCGAATCAAACCAAGTTCTCCCAGATTAGAGTCCACGCACTTAACCACTACACCAAACTGGGGACGGCAGGGTTTGGGGAGGAGAGGGACCTCTGCAGGGTATATAATGCCATGGAGTTCATCCACTCTTCAGAGCAGCCATTTTCTCCAGGGAGAGCTGATCTCGGTTGCTTGGAGAGCAGCTGTAATTTTGGGAGATCTCCGGCCCCCAGTGGGAGGTTGGCAAGACTATGAAAGAGCAATAAGGTAGGGTTGCCAACCTTCCAGGTAGAGTCTGGAGATCACCCAGAATCACAACTGCCCTCCAGAATACAGAGTGCATTTTCCTAGAGAAAATGGCAGCTTCAGAGGACAGGCTGTACAGTAGGGATGCCAGCCTCCAGGTGGGACCTGGAGATCCCCCAGAATAACAGTTCATCTCTAAACTACAGAGATCAATTCCATGAGAGAAAATGGATGCTTTGGAGAGGGGACTCTATGGCATTGGACCAGGCCTGTAGCTACAGTGGGGCATCTTGGGGCTAGGCCCCCTGACTTACTAGCCAGGCCCCACAACTTCCCATCCAGCCCAGGGCCCCCAAGCAGCGGCAGGTGCAGGAAAGGAGCCAGGTATTCCTTTAATACGATTAGCCAGTGCCCCCTAAGAAATTTAAATGCCCCCAAACAAATGTTGTATGATTAGAATTGATCTCCAGGCAACAGAAATCAGTTCACCACTGCTTGGGAAGTGGACTCTATGATTTTTATTTATTTATTTATTTTGCAATTTATACCCCGCCCTACCCCGCCAAAGCAAGGGTATACCCTCCACTCCCTAAACCTCACCCTCTACAGGCTCCACCCCCAAATCTCCAGGTATTTCCCAACATGGAGCTGGCAACTCTCACCTCAGTGCCTTCCTAAGCATCATTACACCCTTCAAAATCCATTGATATAAACGGGTTTAGAAGAGTTTGACTCTGTTTAGGATGGCACTGCTGTTTATGTATGTTTCACTTTAATCCTGCCCTTTCTCCAAGGAGCTCGAAAGAGACATGTGGCTCTTCCACATGACAGAAAGGTAGCTGTGATGCTGTGCAGTTACTCCCATGTCCACAGAAGTCAATGGACTTCAACTGGAACAGCTCTGCATAGGATTGCACTGTAATGGCCTGGACAAAGAGTATATATAAAATTAAACTTGGTACTTGCTGAGACCTGGATTGCCCAGGTTAGCCTGATGTCATAATATCTCAGAAGCTAAGCAGGGTTGGCCCTAGTTAGTACTTGGGTGGGAGACCACCAAAGAAGGCCAGGATTGCTACACATGGGCAGGCAACGGCAAAACACCTCTGAGGGTGCGGTCAGACGGTGTGCTGGGAGTGGTTTAAATTGCTCCAGCCCTGATGCGGTCTTTTTTAACCTGGAGAATCGTGATCACACTCACCTCCTTGCTCCAGATCGCTGTGCAGCCACATCGCTCCCCGCTGTCCACACACTGGAGCGGGTGTATGAAAACACACACGGGAGCGTGCTTCGCTGTGGTTTTTTTCTCTCTCTCTCTGTTTGGGCATGCACACAGGCAACCATCTATAGAACTAAAATTTTCGCGCGTGCGCAGAACAGAAATTTCCACTTCAACCCGACTGCTGTAACACTTCCCTTTAAACTTTAAAGGAACACTTCCTTTTAAACGTTTACCCCGAAAATGGCCTCCGTGAGATCCTGAACTCGTCTAAACACTAAAACTAGGCACCATTTAAACATTGTTTTTAATAACGCGGTGGCGGACTTCCGTCTATGCGCCAAAAAAGCCAATGCTTTTTTAAAAATGGTGGGCGAAAAGCGGAAGCCTCAGGCAGCTTTCGAGCGGGAAGGGGGTTTAAACCGGAAGTGGCTCGACACCGCAGGAGTGATCAGACGTCAGAAAAGTGCGGCTGGAACCAGAGAATCAGGAAAACACCACTTGGGGACCTGGTATCAAAGTACTCTGGGTTAAAGCGGTTTTGAGCCGGAAAGCGACGGCTGGGGACGGGAGGTAGATGTTGACTGTGTGATCACGCAGATAAAATCAGTTTCTGAGGCGGGTCGAAAGCGGACTAAACAGCCCGTCTGAACGCACCCTGAATGTCTCTTGCCCTGAAAACCCTAAGATGTCACCATAAGTTGTCTGCCTGTGACTTGAAGGTACGGTATGCATACACTCACACTGGTACTTAAAGAGACCAGTTTTTGTTTTTTAAACTGCTCATGCCCAGAAACAGTAAATGGAACTGAGATACAGGCCACCAGAAAAAGTCAACTATTGTTCTTAATACAAAGTCAACTTATGTTCTTAATACATTGTTTTAAAATATTTTCTTGCAGATACACAGCTTATCTTCATTCACCCAGCAATGGCCCTTGTGCTGCAGTGACAGCTGCAGCCGAAGCAACAGCAGCATTCTTTCTTGAGTCATTCCATCTTGTTTGGTCTTCCTCTTTTTCTATGGCTTCAGGTTTTCCTAGCAGCAAATCTGCTTCAGGTCTGTAATTATTTTTTTAATTCCATTGCTTGGAATTGCCTGCTTCAAAAATTATCAATGCACAATAAATGTGGGGCTATGCCAGTTGGTTCGTTGGGTTGCACCCACCAAAAACCCGGACCTGGATAGCCCAGGCTAGCCCAATCTCGCCAGATCTTGGAAACTAAGCAGGGTCGGCCTTGGCTAGTATTTGGGAGGGTGACCTCCAAGGAATACCAGGATTGTTACGCTGAGGCAGGCAATGGCAAACAAACTCTGAAATGTCTCTTGCCATGAAAACAGGTCTAGCTCACTACCCAGTGGTGCATAATGCTAAAACAGCTAAAACTTCTGACAGCCAGACCGTCTTAGGATCTCCTGGCTATACTACACACACTGCTATACCATGATTAATTAATTAACTCACCAAGAAACCCTTCTATCCTAAGAAAGAGGTCTACTCGGTTAAGTCCACTGAAGTTGATAGTTGAAAAGGGTTTAACTCTGCTTAGGACTGCACTGTGAAAGTGTATCTTTTATGAGTTTATGACGACGATTGCGGTCCTCTTGTTTTTAACACAAATAGCTGCATACAATTAATTTCTGGTTTTGCAAATAATGAATGATCCAGAAAGTGAATGAGCAGAAATCACTCGACATCTTAATTATTGTTATTTTTTACTGAAGTGGGGAAACATGAATTGCTGCCCCAGAGAGCTTACAGTCTACATTCAAGAATGCTGTTGGCATGGTTGAGCTTGCCATTTTAGCAGCCGCTGAGGATTACAAAATCCAGGCTAATTCATTCTAGTATTCTGTCGTTCAGGGTTTGTATTTGGCAGACAACATAACATATCTATGTATATGTATGCATGGTTGGAATTCTGAAGGTTCATCCTCCAATTTCTTTTCTTTTTCAGTTAGATTCAAGTCCTGTTCTACTGCAGACCAACGCAGCTAACCTCTGGAATTTGATAGTTGGGGAGATTGTTTTGCTTATTTTGTCCCAATGTTATTCCTGAGCTATTAGTTTCCCCAAGTTTTGTTACCTCTCCCAACTGTGAAATCTCCCCCCCCCAAAAAAAACCCCTCTCATTTTTAAAATCACTGCTAATTCAGATTTTTTTAAGACTTCCATTTTATCTGCTTGTTGCTGATTTTAATAGTTCTGTTCTTATTTGTTTTAGCATGCCATTCATGGGGAGTATAGCCAGGGATCATTTCCTGCGGGAGCGCACAGGAGCGGAGCTCCGGCAGTAAGGAGCCAAGGGGGCGGGCACATGCAACAAGCCCCGCCCCCTGCTCCCAGCAGCCCTCAGTCAGGCCACGAGGAGCAAGAAGCAGCCAGGTAAATTGCAGAGCCCCCCCCCCCCGGCCTGTCTTCAGGTACAAGCTCTCCATCCTCTGTGA